TTGATCAATTCTAGATTTTCTGATACCAAACGAAGTTCATATTTCCCTCATGCAGTTGGATAGTTGGCACTGGTAGTTCTGTTTGTCTGCTTTATTGTGCACGCAAATTATAGCGTTCTCTACAACTTGAGAGCAATGCGGCTCGTCGTAGTATGATTTCGTCGGTGTCCAGTTTAAATGAAATCCATAACTAAGTTAACATCCTTGTTCCAAGGACGTTTTGCACTCGTTTTTTTTTGTTATATTTGCATGTCTCAAACTAGGAGTTCACCCACTCTAGGTTATATATATATTTATATATATATATATGTATATATATATATATATATATATCAATGCATATCAATATATCAAGCTTATGAATCCAGACAGTACGACGAAGAAATCATTCCATAGATTGATCGTGGGCGGAATATCGGCTGGTTGGCCGGACAAAATCAGGTGAATTTTCTTGGTATGTTCACAGCCGCAGCCTGACACTCAAGGCTATGAGAAGGGAAGGATCTAGTTCATCGGATCATGCATCCTTAGGACCCGGTCAAACATCCAGGGTGCCGCGTACACCTAGATGTGCAATCAAATCGGTGACCACTGCCAGAACCAGGAAGGCTTGGGTGTGGTTCTTCGTTTGGATGAAACCAGGGTTTCAAGGCCATTGGTTTACCATCCGGGTTATAGCCCCGTATGTTGTTTCTTTTTCTCACTTTGAGTATCGTTTCCCCAGCAGATACTATCTGAAACGTTACGTCTCACGGAAGCATTTCTTGAGTTGCTACGGAAGAGTGACCAGTCACCACCCAAAACACTCCCGAAGATTGTTCTCGGAGGCAAACACTGGATTTTGATTGTGTTCTCTTTCTAACAAATTGTTTTATGAGGGAAGTGGGAAATTTGATTTGATTTGTGGCACGTAAAAGCTGTTCCAACCTGATAGAGTCTTATCAACAGTGCAAATCCATTAGCCCAACTGGGGGTTGGATCCAGAACCTCACAGGTAGAACGCAGGCACGATACCCACTCGACCACCGGATAACTAATCAGACCATTTTGCATTTTACCTCGATACGAAAGAATACAGCCCATCTTTGTGGCCTTGTTAAAACCACCGCTCCTAGTTCATCTCAGTTTTACTCGGTTAAAATTTATACTCTCCATCTTGTTTTCTGTCTAGGAGAAGCAGAAGAAAAAGAAAAAACGCTTCAAACTGCCATCTTTCTCACTGCGTTCGAAGGACAAGGCGAAGGACAAATGATTTTCTCCCCTTCAATTCCTTCACACCCACATGACTTTTCTCATGAAGTTGATAACAGTTGCCAACGCAGTTATCTCTACTATCATAATACTTCGGTTCTTTTCGAGGGCTGTGTTGTTTGGAGTTTCGGTTACCTGTGCTTTTTTTCATCCAACCGCTAATCAATAGGCGCAATCAGAAAAGGCGTTAAAACGGTCTACATACTCTCGATTATGACAGCGCGGAGCTTCTTCATCTTAATACCGTCTAGTGTCCTACACCGAGGCTGGACCCGATGCATCTCCAATGAGTACAAAAGTAACAGGTCATGCTACGTTCACGCGCATGTCTTATCTATCCCAATCTACATTTCGATTTTGCTCCTTGATGGACAAGGTTCCATATTATTACTCCCGTGTGTTCTATTCCCGGAGCCCATTCGTCGTAGCTGGTCATCCGTTTACCACTTCGTTCCACACGAAGTTGTGCGCGATTTGTAAAGCAGTTTTTCTCTTATTTCCCTTGGCGCACATCTATTCTTTTATTTTTTTGTGTTGCCTACCAGATGTGTTAAAAACCGCAATCTATAGGCGTTATTCATCGTATTCCGTCCTCCAGGGCTTGTTTCCTAAATAAGTTCGCCATTAGTAATTTCATTTAGTTTTTTTCAAATATTTCTCATTTGATCCGTCCGGTTATGCCGATGTACTCTATCTACTCATCTATCCATCATTCTCGGTTATTCCAACCCCACTCACCATGATTTTGGCTTATTCTACGGTGGTTCTCTCTTGTCGTTGCCTCAAACTCCGATGATGACAACCGTGGTCAGTTCATGTCGGTGTACTTAGTTCTCGCTCCTAATAAACGGTGGTGTTACCCTATACGGATTACACGGGCTGTCTCAACCATACAGTGCCCTTATATAGCTCGTTTTCCGTTCACTATCTTTGTTTTTCCCTTCTCCGGCGTCGTGCATGCTTTAAGACGATTTGTTTTGCCTCTTGGTATATCATTCACGCTCTGTATTTCTTTTCTCGCTGCTGCTGCTGTTGTTTCCAATGGCTCCCAACCCCCTGATCCGTCGTTTCGTTCCCACATTTAGCCTGGCTTTGAGCTGCATTTTTCTCATTCACATACGTGTGCGTATGCTTTCACGCACACTCCTGTTACTTTTTACTTTGTTCCATATTTGCGCTTCAGATCATTGATGCTTGAGCAATAAATGTTTTCGTGTGATCACATCCGGGTATGTTATTTCGTTACCTCTGTATTCACGAGAACCGACCTTCCGGCAGATCTCCGGCTCGTTTGATCTGAGTTCAGTGGTTCTCGAAATTCAGCATTATTTTTTGTCTCATTTACCTCAACGAACCAAGCAGCCTTCACAACGCTCCTCATCGGTAGCAACTCAGCAGTTGAGTGAAGTTAAGTGTTGACGATCTACAGCGGGATCTACGTCTACTTCTGATAAACAGTCTATATGCGGTATTGTCTTTCATTTTGTTTGGGCTTGTGCTCGGGGTGCATATCCCAATTTTCCAGAAGAGATCTCGCAACGACTGCGCAAACCACCGTGGAATAAATTTGATCTCAATCGTCACCAAGTTACTAGCCTACATCCTACTTCGACGTCTGACACCGTTTAGGGAGACAACTATCCGCTAACAACAAGCACGATTTCGACTAGGTCACAGCTGTATCGATCAAATCTTCACTCTGCGTCGAGTACTCGAACTACGCCGTACGCACCGTCGGTCAACGGTTGTCGTCTTCCTTGACCCAAAACGAGCCTTCGACTCAGTTGACCGTGAATCCCTTATGGGTTCGCTCCTTCGCTAAGGAATGCCACAGAAGTATGTGAACTTAC